AGGTGACATGTGATGTGGTACTAGGAAAATGAGAATGAGCTGGCCATGTGAAGTGCTTAAGAAGAACATTTCAGGCAGATAATGTACTGAGTATAAAATCTGAGGTAGAAAAAGGGCTTGATGTGTTGAAACAGAAAAGAGACAAGTGTGGTTGGTGCAGTGAGTAGAAGTATGGTATGAAAGGAGATCGGCAGGAACTAAAAACGTACAGGGTCTTGAAGTCAGTGGAACAGTGTGATTTTTATTCCAAAAGCAGGGGGAGGCCAGTGAGGGATTTCAAACCAAAAGTGAAATATACCTTACAAGGACTGTAATGCCTTTGCTGAAAGATAGTACTAGTAGTGATTTTTAGTAAGCATGCATTGATATTATTTTATAAATTTTCATATCAGTTTTAGTATATAATTGTGTTTGTGCTCATCCCTCACTCTTTTAGATAGCAGAGAATTTCATGGTGTTGTTTTTAATGAGATATTTAAAAATCAGTAATTTTTTTATTCCTATGACAGAAACTGCTGATTACCTCATTTATTAAGGGAAGAAACCTGACTCTATAAGTATCGATAAATGAAGAAATCTGTGGAATTAAGAGTCCAAAGAACCATCTGATAATTTATTTCAGTAACTGTCTTAGTGAAATTTGATGAACGGGGAAAAAAAAAAATCTTCCCTATTAAAATAATTTTAATTTCCTTCTAGAATCCTGATACTAAGTCATTAAACACTTATTTGTGTTCCTCAGCCAGATGTCTCTGTCAGAAGGCTGTATTAGATTACAATACCTAATAAAGTTGATTTATGTACACTCTGATAAAATTTGAGCTTTTTGTTAATGCTTGAATGATTTTAGCAGCCTCTTACAGTGCTCAGTGCCCTTGAACTTGCTTCCTTTTTATATCCTGCCCTGTTCCTGAGATGATTATATTTCAGGCCCACATTTTACCAATAAATTTGAGAATTCTTCATCTGATACTCTAATTAAGGAAATATGTTATGTGAGTCTGACCTTTTGATTTGTCTCCTATCCTTATTGTCTTTTAGGAAGATGATTAGATGTAGCTTATGTGCTAAAGCCTCAAGTATTTGATTCAGCCTAAAGATGGATCAAATTTTCATCTAGCTTAAATATAATTCAAAGATACAAGGAATCATTTTCATGACTTATCAGAGAAACAATTTGCATTCATGGTTCCTTTTTCTTCTCTAATTTACTCTTGTGAATCAATTTTAGGTCTTTCCACACATAGAAGTTTTTCTCTTATTGCTGTGGATTTCAGCTTAGAGCCTCATACACTGGGTGCTCATTATGAAAGGGTGAGCAAGATATCTAAATTTTAGAATTCAACAGTGTTTTATGCCATAACTCTTAAAAAGTTTTATTTAGTTCAGTTTGTGTCCATCAGTGACATATTTTAAGGTTTCAATATTGAAAACTGGGGTAATCAAGAAAGAATGAAGGGCTACAATTCTGTAAAAGGATGAGGATTTTTTTTGTTCTTGCAGAGGAGTCAAGTATGTCTTAAATATTTATGGTCATGAATATAGTAAATATGTTGACAGAATTTCCTTTGTTTCTAAAAAGGTCGGAAAAGGTATAATAGATTTAAATTTAAAGCTCTTCTGATTTGGGGTTATAGGATAAAATCTGGCATTATGGAATAAGGCAACTTTTGTGACTAGCATTTATTGACATTATGTGGGGAATAGTCAATAATTAGATTTTGGTCAGCCTTATGGGTAGGAATCTATGGTTAATGGAAAAAATCTCTTAATTGGATCAGTACCTTGCTTAGAATTATAAATCAATCTTATGGGGTCAGAAGTATATGGAGGGATGGGCAACTTAGGTTCTTGTTCTAGCTGTTATCTGTGGGGCGGTTATGGTAATCAATTAGAATAGGCACTTTATTCACTCAGAATCATATAGGTAGAAGAAATGAGCTTTATAGATTTCAGTTAAATTCAGTTCAGCTCTTGGTGTGACTGTTTAATACTGTTTAAGTATCCTGATGCTTTATAGCTGCAGTTAAATCTTGTGGTCAACTTACTTTCTAACTTCTAATTTTGTTTAGTACAGAAATGGTGAATCTAAGAAAAACAATACTCATTACCTAATAATTGCGTATAAAATTAATCTGTTCATAATAGTTATATACTGGGAGAGAAGAGTGATTAGAGCTCTTATTAAGCTGCATGCCACAAAGTGATTCATGCTTTTCTAGTTTGGTTTAGTTCATATATTTCATTTCAGAGTTATTCTATGGGTCCTATTGCTATTTTCTGAGTTACCTGTTTTACAAATTTCATTATTTTCTACACTTTCAGGTGTAATAAACCTTTAATAAATAAATCAGATTCTAACACTTCCTCTTTGTACTCTGTATATCTCCTAAGGACCACACAGCACTATTTTTTTTTCTCTGAAAACACCATTTTCTTCCCATTTCTATATGTTCTTTAATTATTGTTCCTTTTTCCCATCTGTTTAAAGGCAATCCATTCTTCACTGTCAAACTCATTCATACCTCCTTTGTGTCTGCCACAGCACAAAGTTATATTTTTTCTTTATTTACTACTTCTGGCTACTTTTTTAAAAGATGTATTTTTATTTATTTATGCATATAACAGCTGGGGTTTAGGCCAGAGGTGTGGGGGATGAGAGTATTCACCAGAGACAGAGTGGGGAGCCGAACAGGCGGATCTACTGAAATACACTGCTGAGGGGGAGCAGCAGGCGAGACAGGAGAAGTCTGCTGTGCCATGTGGGTCAGCTCTCTGGCCAGGGATTGAACTCAGGCTGCAGTGACTGGTGATAGCTTGATAGCACTGAGACTTTAACCCCTGTGCCACCAGGAAGGCTCACTTCTGGCCATTTTTAATTGTTGCTTATTTATTACATCTAAGGTACATATTTTTAAACCCTTTTTGAAGTTTAAACATCTTTTATAAATCTTGACTCGTCAGCTAAATACAATTTTCTAGGAAGACAGGGTTCTCTCATTCTTGTATCTCCATTTAACCAAGCGCCAAGCACATAATAGGAACTTAGTATTTATTAACAGTGTAATTGTTGGTAAGAAAGGTGGTGGAGTATTTTCATTGCCTTAAGTAGTCTTGGAATTTAAATGAGTATTTTTTTGTGATTTCCCTTGAGATTAAATTTTGACAATGTAAGAGGAATTCTTCAGTAACTAAGGTCTGTGTTCCCATTTTATTACTGGAAGGGGGTTGCACTAAAGGATGCTCCATTACCTACAGATTCTTTGAAAAGGAGCAAGTATGGTACCATGTGACTTTGAAGGATTTTAAATATTGTAATTACAACTTCTGCCAGGTTCTGAAAAATAACTCGTGTGTGAGGATAGAGGTGAAATTGAGCCTTAAATTATTGGCAATCACAAACCAACACCCCAATGACTGCTGTTAATATGCAAAATATAAAATAATATAACAATATATATTTTCTCAATTTGAATTTGTTACTCTGTGTTAAAAAATAGATGACTCCCCCGTGTAGAAATTCAGAGAGCAATGTTAGGTATAAGCGGTGAAGTACAATTTATTACAAATAAATCCAAGTTAGATCTTCTTTCCATAATCCATTAGCTATTGACTTTGGGTATGTTGCTTAACTCTTCTTTGTTTTAGGTACTTTACTTATGAAATAACCTATCTCCTAAACTTAGGATGAGAATTAGAAAAGATAGTCTAATGCAGCAAGCACATTACCTGGCACCGAAAACCACATACAGATTTTCTTTTGCTACTTTACTTCCTCATTGTAGACACACATTATTTAATTGAAAGTCTTATTTAAATGTCTTGCCCTGGGCCTCCCCTGGTGGCACAAGGGGTTAAGCACTGCACTGTGAAGCAGTCCGCAGCCTCTGCAGCACATGTTGGATCCTTGACCTGCCAGGGAGCTACCCACATGGCGCAGCAGACCTCTCCTGACTTACCCACTGCTCCCCTCAGCAGTGTATTTCAGTCACTCTGCCTGTTCTGTTCCCCACTCTGTCTCCGGTGGATCCTCTCACCCCCTGCATCTCTGGCCTGTACCCCAGCTCTTGTATGCATAAATAAATAAATCTTTAAAAAAATAAAAATAAATTTCTTGCCCTCATGATGTGTCATAGACATTTGGATATTTGTGAGAAAGTTATTCTTAATTATGACAGTGATCTAGTGAAAGTAGAGTTTGAAAAAGATGTCAATAATAAACTTCAATATTTTTCAAAGATTTTGTGTTTTTTGGCTTTGCTTCAAAGTAGTAAATTTGAAAAAATATTGAAACTAATACTATTACATATATTAAGACTGCTAGTTTGAGGTGTCATATAGTTTTCTGAAATCAGTCCAGATACCTCTAGGTGAATGAAAAAACAAATTTTTGTCAACTTAACGAGGGCAGTAATGTTACAATGGAACCATTTTAAACAGGCTCTTTGAGAAATGGAAATTCTTGCTAAATACCCCTTTTGTTTCAATACTTTACCTAAATGTTTATGAGTATATTGATCTACTTTCCTGCTTAGAGAAATGTATGGATCAAAAATAGTCACCTCTTTATTTTAGACTCAGGATCTTTCACTCCTTTTAAACCGCAGATATTATGATGTGGCAGTATGGCTGGCTTTGTTTTAAGTAGGAGATTAGCCTAAAAGTACTCCCAGGATACACTTTGAAAACTTTCCAATCTTCCTGCACCTCTTCTTGCGACCCTCAAATCCCTAGTTCAGTTTTGCTATAGTTTTCATAGCCCATGTCTTCCAAATAGTTTCTAATAAATTGGGATTCTGGTTTCTTAAAACTTAACATTTATAAAAGGGGATGGGAAATTATTTAGCCTAATACCCTTACTTTATAGATTGCAAACCTGACTTGTTCAAGGATATAAAGCAGAATCACTAAAAGAAACAAAGATTTAGATTTCCTCATTAAACTGACACTTTAATAGTGTCCGCAATTTTGGTGGTTATCTTTGATCTTCTTTGAAACAGGTAGATCGACACTTGAGAAAGCTGGATCAGGAACTGGCTAAGTTTAAAATGGAGCTGGAAGCTGATAATGCTGGAATTACAGAAATATTAGAGAGGCGTAAGTAAAATTTACAGTTTTCCATAAATTTTGAACAATACTTGTGCAAATCATTGAGGAGACACTTGTCCCAGAGACTTCCCAGATCCTGCGCTTCGGTGGATATTGACAGCCAGGTTGGATAACTCTGATTCTAGCACTTGAAACTGTTTGGGTCATAGATTCTGAGAGAGATAATACATGACATCATCCACTCACTCTTAATGAAAATAGCATATTAAGTCATTCCAGTTATAATATGCATATATGCTAGTAAGATAACCAGTAAGAATAAAGATTTAAAAATACAACCATCTACAAACAAGTTAACCATCTGTCATTAAATGTATTGACTTGCTTTGCCTGTTTATACACCTAAGCTTTGAGAAAGGTTGTTTTTCATAAGAACTGTATTAAGCCTTTTCGTCAACTCTGTTGCAAGGATTTCAGTTGGTTCCATATCATTCCTTTTTTCAAAATAGTCTTTCCTAAGCTTCCCCTTATCAGCAAGAAACCATTTTAATGTCTTTTTGTAAGACTCGACTTGATCTCCTGCTATAATTATCATTTCTTGGATTTAATTTAGGAGACTTCCCCAAAGTAGAGACATGACCTCTGTTTCTTTAAGTTAGCATCTCTTCCACCCTAAATAGGTAATGTACATAAAAGCAGATAGCATGGTGCTAAGCCTGGTGTTGGCATTCTCTCAGTATTAGTTGAACCAAATCAATATTATGACTAATACTGCTAGAAGTTCTTTTTTTTCTTACTTCGTTTCAGCAACAAAAACATAGAACTATTCCTACACACAGTTAAAAGATTTCTTCACAGTGTTAGGTTATATATCTCTGTTTATATACCTTTTAGAAGTCAACTGGAGAAGCAACCAATCAAGAATCCATCTTGGAATCCATATTTGCATTTTTGTATTTAGAAGTAGTTCTATCCCATTAGATTATCATCTAATTTATTTATGATACTTTTATTTGGGCTGGGTTGGGAGGGACTTTATGAGGATAAGTTCTTTGAAAAAATTCAAATCATCTATAATGGCTTGATTTTTTTTTTTTTTTGCAATGCTTATAATAGCTGTGAGTAATGGTAGCTCATGCCTATTCAGTACTGCAGGAAGGTTAACGAAACATCTTCTGTAAAGACACAGACATATGAAACTAAATCAGATCAAGTTATAAAAACTGTTCCACCCTATCCCCTGCCATAATTTCATCTCAAGGGATCAAGATAAACCCAGAAAATTTATTTGAAAGTATTTTAATGCTTGGCAGTAGAGAGTCTGTATCTCAGTTTTCACAAGCAAAACCTCTGATTTCTTTTAGGATATCTTTATTATCATGTGTCTTTTTAATAATTAAGAAAATTTTCTTTCATATAGTTCCCTCACCTAATATTTTAAGATTATCGTTAATGGAGTTCATCCACTTTTGTGTTATCCACTGTGATGAATTACCTAATTAGAATTAGCATGCCTTGAGCAGCTTTGCACTTACTGTAAATGTTAAGAAATGGATTACTTACTGTTAGAGGACAGGCTCAGGGTAAGATTGGCAGTGGTTACCCTCTAACATGTTTGGCTAAAATGACACAGGCATATGCATCAGAGCATGCCAGTTCTCTGCTGGGGAAGGGAACACAGTACTTATAGCTGATTGGTGGGTGAAATTCCATGGTGATGTATAATGGTGGTATACCTCTGTGCCTCTTTTTTTCAAGGATCTTTGGAATTAGATACTCCTTCACAGCCAGTGAATAATCATCATGCTCATTCACATACTCCAGTGGAAAGTAAGTTTGGTTAAGTGCAACTGAAATTTTATATACAATTTAAAGACATGGTATTACCTGTATATTCTATTTTATTACCTCAAACCACTGACTGAGAATCAAAAATCCTTTCCTTCTATTTTGTGAGATAAATTTTTCATTGCATTACTTCTTCATTTGGGCAAAGCATATTTGATTTGGGACCAGGTTGCCATAATTTCCCTGAAAGTCATAAGAGAAGAATGTGTAGAAGTAATCACAGCATAGCTCTCTGTTTAAAGATAGCTTCTCTTTAGAGAGAGCTATAAACAGAGTAAATAATAAACTCCTTGATGGTGAGCTTCTGTCCTTTTCATCTTTGCTACTCCAGTGCTCAGCCTACTATTTGGCATGTAACAAAGTCTCAAGTGATTGGTGAGTTAGTGAGCAAAGGAGAGGTAACTGACTATATAAATGTTGGTGCATTTTGTTGACAAATCAATTTGAAATGTAAAGTGTTGATCGAAAATGTCCAAATTGTAGATAAATGTTTTGACAACAAAATCCCCCTCATGTTATATGTGAAACCATAGCACATGATAGCTAAACTTCAGTACTTTGTCACTGAAGATTTTTTTTTAATTTTTGAGCCATCTACTGTTAATAAAACATGTACACAGAGTTCTTTTTGTCCTGTCTTCTAAGAAAGCATAATGTCCTATGTCTATGAGTAATTTAGATCATAACTATACCAGTTTATAACTGGATGAATGTAGTCTAGTCCATAGTTCTTTAAAGTTTAAGAACATGTGGATTCTTTATTTATATTCAGAAAGGAAATATAATCCAACTTCTCACCATACGACAACAGATCATATACCTGAAAAGAAGTTTAAATCTGAAGCTCTTCTATCTACCCTTACATCAGATGCCTCTAAGGAAAATACGCTAGGTAAGTTTATTATCTTAAATTTGATAGTTTGCTTCTTTTATTTGTTTTAAATAAGGTGAAATGAAAGTAGTCAGGATTAATGAATCATCAGTTCTTTACTGGTTAAAGTCTATGCATGGAAAACGGAGAAAAAGGAAAAATGTGACATAAAAGTTTTACAGTAACATGAAAATTTAAAATGTAATGATTTTATCAGTGCTGGGAAAGAATGTATTTTAAACTCACTAACATTATGTTCTCTCCAACCATTTGTATTTCTTTAATTTTTCACAGGTTGTCGAAATAACAATTCTACGACCTCTTCCAACAATGCTTACAATGTGAATTCCTCCCAGCCTCTGGCATCCTATAATATTGGCTCATTATCTTCAGGAACTGGTGCAGGGGCAATTACCATGGCAGCAGCTCAAGCAGTTCAAGCTACAGCTCAGGTAAAAGGAAAAGATTTGGAAACAGAATATTAACCTTCTGTCAGAATCTTTTGCAAACTCATATAGAAACAACTCGATATGAACAAAAGAGGTTTATTTTTTCTTTATATAGTTTGAGCTTGATTTTAAAATCATAGTTCTGTGATATCTGACATTTTGTTTAATGAAATGAATATGAAGAAATTACCTAATTAATACAGAAAGTAAACAAATAGATTCATATAATTTCATGCAGATCCCTTCTCATAATAATGCTCAGTTGCCCATGTTCTTGACTCTGGTCTGTAGCACCTGCCAGTACAATGCTTCATTCTCCATCAGTTCTAGGGCTTTTCTGGAGTCTGTTTGCTTCTATACAAGTTATCTATATTCCAAATTTAGTTACCTATCCTGTAGTTACATTATTACTGTGTAAAAACTGATTTTACATCTTTACATAAAATAGCTTAAATTATAATGATGAGAATAATGGTTTAATATTTGACAAGCCAAAATAATACTGTAATTGGTAAGACTTGAAAAAGAAAATGTACATATTTATGTATATTAATGCTATCAATGAATGTTTATTTAAGATGAAAGAGGGACGAAGAACATCAAGTTTAAAAGCCAGTTATGAAGCATTTAAGAATAATGACTTTCAGTTGGGAAAAGAATTTTCAATGCCCAGGGAAACAGCTGGCTATTCATCATCTTCGGCACTCATGACCACGTTAACACAGAATGCCAGTTCATCAGCAGCTGACTCCCGAAGTGGGAGAAAGAGCAAGTAAGTTATACTTTGATAGTAACCCTCTACTTTGTTAGGCACGTGGTCTACTCCAACCGGACTTCCATTTATTAAGCAAAAGCAACACGTAATACATCAGGATGGAGAGGTGGGAAGACCTGATTTTGCGCACATACTTTGAATGGGTGAAGTCTTTAAAAAGTGTTGAGAGTTTTTCATTTTTCTAGATCTTTAAGATGGGTTTGTTAACAGGTAACTTCTTTTACTTTCTTTATTCATAAAATATACCATTTTATGAAGTTGTTTTTCATTTATAATTCCTTATTTTGTCATGTGTCTTAAGGTAAATTAATACATAAGATACAAATTCTGGGAATTTTTTTTTTGAACAATCTGCATTTTTTTTTTAACACCAATGTATCTTGATTTTTGGTCTTACTTCCCAAAACTTGAAATTATGAAAATATCCCTATGATTGTATGACTTTTAAATATGAAAGTTTACCAGCAGCATTCAGCACCATCTGCCCACATATTTGCATATGCTGGGCTTTCAGACCTAATAAAAGTTCAAATGCTAGACCTAAAGAGTTAATTATGTAATAATTGTATTATAATTTATTTCTCAATGTATTGAGTTTTCTGTGAGTAAATCTCTGAAAGAATGACCAATATAGAACTACCCAACAAATGTCAAGTATTTTAAAAATTTATATTTATGATCCAAATTTAAAGTAACTTATGACAGGTTTCTGTATTACAAAAATTTGATTTGCATGTAGATGATGGTAAATTATTTGTGAATTTTAGTATTCCATTTCCATCTTATACAGATAAGTATTCACAGGTGGATTGATGGCTGTGATCGTTTGCATCAAATACTTTTGTTTATTTGTATTTTAGATTTTGCTGCAGATTTTTCTCTGTAAAGTAGCTATAACTACATTTTAAAAGTATTACCCTCAGTTTAAGTCAATGATAAATAGTAACTGATTAAAAAATATTTAAAGAATGTTATTAAAAGCATTTTCTCTTTGAATACCTTTATTCTCCAGAAAACAAAAAATTCTTAAGCTAAATGAAAACCATTATGAAAATTTTACTTTTATATCTGTTTACTTTAAATTCAATGACTTAATATTAAACATTATACATTTGATGTCATTTTCTTTTATACCACTTATTTAGGAGTTATTCTTCTTAGATAACTTTTTCTGGATTTTGAGCAAATAAAACTGATACTGTTTTTTAGAACCAACAACAAATCTTCAAGCCAGCAGTCATCCTCCTCCTCCTCTTCCTCCTCTCTATCATCCTGTTCTTCGTCATCAACTGTCGTACAAGAAATCTCACAACAAGCAACAGTGGTACCAGAATCTGACTCAAACAGCCAGGTTGATTGGACTTATGACCCGAATGAACCGCGATACTGTATTTGTAATCAGGTAAAAGTCTGGTACATGCCTATAAAAGCATAATAAAACTAGGGAAAGGATAATTGTTTTTTTTTTTTAATTTTTTTATTCCCCATACAATTGCAACCCCCTGATTTTGACCCCAATCCCTCCTTCCCCCCCCCCCCCGCCCAAAGTGTATCTCTGGTTCATAGTTGTTTGTTGATTTTTATTTTTTTCAGGAAAGGATAACTATTTTACTTTCTTAAATACTCTTTTTTTTTTTTCCTTCCACTGTACCTATGCCCTTAAAAGTCTTTTAAAAAAAAAAAAAAACCCTATGAACTATATATCCTGTTTCTCAATGCAGTTGTTTCTTCAGTATAGTTCCTTCTATTTTCTGTTAGTATCATAAACAATTAATTTGGACTTCAATGCTTTTTATATAGTCATAATAAAAATACTTAATTTTCTTTTAACTAGGTATCCTATGGTGAGATGGTGGGCTGTGATAACCAAGATGTAAGTATTTTATGGTTTTTTATACTGATTATATTTCTCAAAAGATGACTGTATACAAATTAGTGACACCTTCCTCCCCCTTTGTTAAAGAATATTGTGTTTACTAGAATACAATTCATTTATCACAATGAAGAACTGGAGTTTTCAAACCATTCTTTTAGAAAGCAGGATTCTAAGGGTGAAAATGTTGAGACTCTAATGTGAGGTGATTTTCCACCCATAAGTACAAAATTTCAGCTGACACCCAGTAGGTGTCGGCTGATAACCACCCCTTCTGCTATTAAAAAGAGAGAGGAAGTTTGAAAGAAAGACATTCCTCTTTCTTTCCTAGGAAGCTTAATTTTGGTTAGAGATATGTTTTTATTAAATGCTGAAGAGAGTTTTTTTCCCCATACAGCTCAGACCCTCTTTGTTCATCTTTTTCTCCTGAATTCCGTACAAGTACTACTCAGTAATGGCAGAATCTTGAGGCTGTAAGACTTTTAACATTAAAAAAAATTAAATTCTAAAACAATCTGAAGATTGAGAACGGTTGGCTTGATATATTATCAAGTCTGTACTTTCCTGACCTCATAGGGTCCCAATAATATGTTCATGCAGAGAAAGACCATCCTTCCCTTCCCGCTTTAGACTCACTTGTGGGCTATTTGTGATCCTTGCAAACCAGTGTTGCCCAGCCACTTCAAAAACACCATTGTCAGCGAAAATTGACAACGAAATTTCTAATCTTGCTGATTCCTGTGATTCCCGATTGTGCTTTTCTGAGTATTAATTTCTGTGGAAGTGCAGGACTCTTGATATGTTGCAGGGTAGAATATTTTTCTCTACAAATTTTGGAAAAGACACACTCAGACCAGAATCCCAGGTTATCCCTTTGTAGTTACAACCTTATTCCACTCTCTGAGGAAGCCACTTTATAAGGCTGAATGTTGAATAAAATCATAAAATACATCTACTTTCTACCTAAGAGACTTGTCATCATTCTTTATTCTTGAAAGTTGGCATCAGTTTACTCTTCACCTTAATAAAATTAGTGAACTTTAATTATTTAGGATTATGGAATAGAGAACATGAACCTCTGAGTGGTTAAAGATGCATAATTTCTTGGTGCCTCCATTTTCTCATCTCCAAAGTTTATTGGTTGGACTAAATGATTTGTAAATCAGCTTCCAGATCTGAGGATTCTGTATCCATGAATGTAAATACTAATATTGAGTGTGGATATATTTTAATATACTCTCTAGAGGTACCAAAAGCAATCTCTTTTCAATTTTGCTTTCTAGTGCCCTATAGAATGGTTCCATTATGGATGTGTTGGATTGACAGAAGCACCAAAAGGAAAATGGTACTGTCCGCAGTGTACTGCTGCAATGAAGAGGAGAGGCAGTCGGCACAAATAAAGGTGGTCCCTTAATTTGAGGAAGAGAAAAGCTCAGCTAAACATTTTATGTAAGACTTTAAAAAAGAAGAGGAAGAAGAAACAGTGCATTTCCAGGCAACCACTTAAAGGATTTACAGACAATCCTGTAAGATCTTGAACTTGAATTTTATGGGTTGTATTTTAATAATGTAAGTAAATTATTTATGCACTCCTGGTGTGCTATGAATATTATTCCAGTTAGCCTTGGATTATTTCAGTGGCCCAACATATGCAGACATTTATACTCCTCAACCATTTTCTCAAAGTTATGGGCATTCTATAATTTAGACTTCAAAGAATTCCAACGATGAAGATTTTAAGAAAAGTATTTTATATTCAACAGGTATGTTCTGCTGCATGTACTGTACTCCAGAGCTGTTATGTAACACTGTATATAAATGGTTGCAAAAAAAAAAAAAGTCAGTGCTTCTAAAAAGAATTTAAGATAATGGTTTTTAAAATGCCTTTATAATAAGCTTTGTTTCTTTGTGAAACTAAATTCAGCAGGCTGAAGGAAATGGTTTATGTGATAAAGTGGGCTGGTGTCCTCTAGAGTACCTGGGTACATAAACAGAAACTCCTGTAGGTAAAAACTAATTTGTGCTATTAGTCTTTATATGTTTCTGCATCCAGATAGAGTGCAGGTCATGAGGGTGGGAGGGGGAGGGGATGAAGGGGAAAGGGTGTTAAAGTGATACATTTTTATACCAAATGTGTTTATTTTTTTGTGCAAGTAATCCTTAAAATTGGAATTGTATTAGGTGTTAAAATAAAGTTTTTAAAAAATTACTTGTATTTATACTTTACACTTAATAATGGATATTTCTTAATTCCAATGAACTTCCCGTTTTCATAATTTAAAAAGGACAGAGGCCCAGGACACAGAATGCTGTGTAATCTGTGATTTCTTTAATAATGTTGGAATTTCTGATGTGAACTAAGGGAAAGATTTTTAATGTAATATGAGATGCAAATGTATTTTTCTAGAACCTCTCTGGCTTTTCTTTCAGTCTTAGTGACATGAGAGAAGTCCAGTCACAGCAGATAAAATGAAAATAATGGTTACAGATGTTTTCACTTGAAGCAAGCAACTTCAGTAAAGAGACCCTGTAGTTTGGAGCTTAAAAGTCAGCTTTATTTTTAATTCTACCACATACTGGTATAGCAGTTAATTTAAATTTTGAATCACTCCAGGCTTTATTCCACTTTCTGAGGAAGCCACTATATAAGGCTGGAAATTGAATAAAATCATAAAATACATCTACTTTCTACCTAAGAGATCTGATCTGTGGGTGATGCTAGCTGTAGGATGTCCACAAAGCACTCCTCTAAGATTTTATTTTATAGGTGTAGGTGCTATTTAAATTGTCGATTTTACAGAGTGGAGGTATGCTTTAAGGTGTATTGATTTTGGTTGGTAAGAAAACCCTTAAAACTTAAAATAATTTGTATCCTATTTCTTTTATATATTAAAACTTAGCAGTCCATCAGATTTCTTCTTTAATCAAAACCACTTATGAGTCTCTTAGAACTTATTCAGAAAACTGTAAAGTCTATGCAATGCTACCCAGAGGGTATGTATTAGGAGATTTCAAAGGTCTCTTCCAGCTTCAAGGTTCTATAATCCTTGGCCTCTCTAGTCTGATTTTAGAACTGGACAGCCCATAAAACTACAGTTAGATTCATTTGTGAGTACTCACGATTTCATGATATGAGTATCATGACTTCATGTGTGATATTCAGTTATTTTCATGGAGATTTTATAGGCCTTTAAGAGATAATATGTAAGGTAATATTCAATTAACTTATTAGCATGTTGCCTGGAGATGCTCAGTGGTATTGTTTAATCTTCTAATTATAGATAATGACTTTTCTAAATTCATTTGTTTTATAGTAATTGGTCAGAGGAAAAAGCCTTATGTACAGCCTTACTTTAAGAGAAAGTTCCTTGTCAGAGTCAGGAACGTCCCTATTTCCAGCTGCTACAGCCCCTTTTAATGTGTGAATCCCACTGGGTCCCAAATTACTCAGAAAACATTTTGAGAAATTTTAAACTCAAGCATTGAATATTTTATGACGCATGTATAAAGAAGTGAACCTAAAGTTGTACAATTATTTCATAATGGGTGGAACCTATTACTATTACTATCTGGGATACATAGTTATAAAATGGGCCAAACATGAAACTACCTCATAAAAAAAAATGTGGCCAACTATTAATATTCTTTGTGACATTTACACCAAGGGGTGTAAGGATCATTTTTGGCATTCACAATCTTTGTTGTATAAAACTTGTAAAACTGGTGGCACAAAGCATCCAAATGTGGGTTCACAGTTTATAGGTGGTAAAAATTGAGGCCTTACTGCTGTGGCATGTGTATTAAAATGTTCATGGTGACACATTTGAAGCAATAAATGGCTTAATTAAATGCCTAAATGAAGCTGAGTGTTTGATGAACATACAGTCATTCTTAAGGGCAGCTCCTCTTTTCTATTTAATTCAAATCCACATATTCCAGATTTTAGTCATTTTAAGATTGTGCAATGTTGCTACCCTTTGTGCTTAGGTCTCAAAAATGACCTTGATCTAATTAATCATTTTAATCTTAGAAAAATTTATGTCTAACATACTTGGGTTGTAAGAAGTAAGATACCCTTTGGCAGACATTGTTATGTTTCCCTCAACTCTCATATTTTTTAAAGAAAAGCATTTTAAAAGAAAAAGAATATCCTTAAAATATTTATTTGTATAGTATTAGGGACATTAAGTAACTAGATGTTGACTATACACAGATAAAGGGGTGGGTGGGGGTGAGGTAAAAAGGAGGGACACATGTTAAAATTAATTGCTATGTTTTGACAAGTGCTGTAATAGAAGGATGTATAAAGCACTCTGCAGAAACTGGAGCCTTAACATAGGAGGTATCATTGGAACTCATTCCTAAAGAAATAGAGTAAAGAAGATTTTCAAGGCAGAAGACCCTGTTGAAGGGCCATGTACATTCTGGGAACTTAGAGTAGAGTGTCTACATGGACATGGAGTAGGTAGATGTGGTCAGGGAGTAAAGCTAGAAAGCTGAAAAGAGTCTATTATGAAGAGCATTTTACACTCTGCCATGGAGTTGCTTGTTAATAGGAGTAGATGTAATATTTATACACAGTTAAATACATTATGATTATTTTAACAATTGAGTAAAATCATACCATGTTTCTTATTAAGATTATAAGGTGGGGGTGACAGAATTAATTAGTCATTAACTTGAAATTTGCTAAAAAATTCTAAACTTGTGATGAATCTTTTATTCCCATTTTTGAGACAAATGAAAATGGTTAATCAAGATTTTTACATTTCCTTATTCAGATGATGAAATCTAAATTACTAAAACATTGTAGTTTTCAATTAAGATCCTGGTCCAGGATCTTAATATTCATGATTTGATTCTATTACAGAGAAATAAGTTAAAGTTTAAATTTAAAGATGAATTAACTTACTTGCTTTGTATTGTCTTTTAAGTGAAGTTTCATGTCCCTTCTGGCCCTTTTCTATTTTAAAGTGGTAAGTCCTGTATGTATACCTTATAAATTAATATTTTTACTAATAAATTACTAGAACCTAGGCATATTAAAATGTTTGAGAAATTTTTAATTTCTTTAGAGCTAGATAATTTAGCTTTTAGTTAATCTAGGGCTGCTTTTTACTTTTTTCACTGAATGGAGTAAAAGCAAAGGAAACTTAAAAAGAATATAACCATTTTTCTGCTGCCTATTAACAATTCAGAAGCTAATATAAGGACAAAGATTCATATGCTTGTGTGAGTGTTGCTTATTCCCACTTCCACTTGCTATGTTAATGAGTCAAAATAGCTTTTTTTAGGAAAGTGTATAATTGTTAGTCTTTAATGAAGAACTAATTTAAAACACAATTTTAATATCAGTTGTAGGAAAAAAGCAGTGGTCATATTTTAATTATTTTTGTATTGCTAATTCTACTCCAGTAGAGGGACCCTCCATGCTTCTATATTAAAATAATTATAATAGGTATCAAGTTACTATAAGAATCTCTCTAGGTCAAATATACAAGGGATCAGACGAATATATTTCTAAATGATCCTGAACATATATATTCATTAGAATAATTTTACTAATATTACAACAAGTTTGAAGGTTTTATTAGGATTTCTGTAGTATGTCCCATTAGAATTTATTAAAATTTATATTTATATCCTTGAAGCATTAATGGATTTTCTTAAGTAGTTTGAGGAATTGATTATAATGATCATTTTTTTCATGGAGTTCCCAAATGTGCCAAAAGATATTTTCACTCTATTAATGGTTGCCATTTATAAATGTTTTTCGAGTCCAGTTATCTGTTAAAAACAAGAAAAATTAAGTTCTTCTCTTTTTATTGTTTTTTTCTTACATAGTTGTAGTCCCCATAGTTCTGCCTCCATACCATCCGTGAACCATCACCATATTCTCTTGTGTTCTTTCCTCCTGTTTCTATATTAGAAATCATATGGTTTAGATAGAGAAACCATCTTTTAACTTTATATGATATACAGGTAATCAATGGACCATACTGTTAAAAAATGTTCCCTTCATATCCACCCAGATCAGCTAAATGAATGTCAGCCTTTGTTGGAGTGATAAGACAAAACCTACCCCTACCCATTTGGGAGGTTCCTCATTCATAGATTCAACCATCTGCAGATGTCGTTTGGCTGAATCTGTGGTTGTGGAACCCACAGACTCTGAGGGGGAACAATAAGGAACCTAAGGATATATAAGGCCCATTGTATTTATTGAAAAAAATCCGTGTGTAGGTGGACCTGCGTAGTTGAGGTGCTATCCTGATTGTGGTGATGATGATGCTGATGTCAAACTCGGGGGAAGAGCTACTGGCAGGTAAGTGCCCAGCAGATGCCACCCTCATGACAGTTCAGGTCAGTCCCCGGAGTTGCTACAGATGGGTTTTATAGCATCACGCTCTGGAGCTCTTGAAAAAGAAAGGTTTTGTTTTCCCTTGCAAGAAACAATGAGGGCCCAGAATCTGAAGTTTTCTTCATCTTACTAGGTTGCAATATAGAGGGAAAGCTATGTCAAGACATATACCTAGGAGCATAATTTTAGATCCTCAAGTAATCTTTCAGGTTTTCTAGTGATCACAGAAGCCCATTTTAGGAGGATGCTGAGACTTAAAGATGTAAATTACTTTTCCAAAGTTTCTGAACCCAACACTGGCATTTTCTCTCTTGTGGGTATTGTTATTCTAGTTAACAAAACAAGGTTTCAAAATTATTTTCTTCAAGGAAAAAGATAAATATCGATGGCCTCAATTATATGTGGAATATAGAAAAACCAAAAGGTCAAGAAGAAGTCAAAACTAGCAAGCTGACCATAGATCTGAGGTATACAGCACAGGAGGCAGAGGGAATAGGGTCAAAATGGGAGGAAAGAACATAGGAAATACGGATGATTCACGGGTGACATGGCAGTGGGAGAAGTATGGGGACTATAACAATGTAAGAAAAAAATTCAAAAAAATTATCTTCTTTAAACAATTATTGAATTCAACCCTTCATTCCTACTCCATACCAAAAGCTAAAAATGAAAGATGAACAAAAATGTAATGAAAGAGTGTGTTTGTGTTGGAGAGGACTGTCACTTTTTTGTGCCAGGTTGATGCTGCTTAAATACCACCCTCATATACTGAAGTGGTTCTGTGAAAGGTTTGTTTTATGAAATATATTTAATAAAATACATAGTCTAAAACACTGCCAGAATCCACAGGTTTTAAATTCTGCATATTTACCCTACCACTCCCTTCACTGAATCTGAGTGTTCCCTATTCTCACATCTTCCTACTCTAACTATTGCTACCATCTTCCATTACTACCCAGGCATAAGTAACTCCCACTTTTGTCCCCCTGCTACTCACTCTGATCCCACTATTTCCCTCAATCCCCCAAAATAGCATCTTCTTCCCACCACTATCTCAGAATGAAGAGAACTAATACTCAGTGTTCTTGCTTGCTTTGGGTGCTTCTGTGTGCATGAGGCCCATTGTTTGATCATTACCTGTTCGTGTGCCTGACACCACACCAGTCTGTTAGTTCAGGATCCAAACATGACATGAATTGAGCTCAGGATCCAAACATGACAGACATGCATTCCACATGTGTTCACCCTACAATGTGCATAGAATGCTCAGGTGCTTTCCATAGATAATCTCACCTACTATGCCAACAATATTTCAAAGGTGGCATCAATACCCTCATTTCACAAATCACTTACTTAAAAATAGCAGCATGATCCACCTAGTTGGATTAATTCTAATAGTAGTTATCAATGGAGCATGTAAGTCCATTTGAACATTCCAGCTTCCCACTCTAACCCATTTTTTCTGCAGACATTTCCTCGTTTATGGTCTCCTCCCACTCCCCAGGACTAAATGGGGCACTGAGTTTTTCAATCCACCAGTTATCACTTCAAGAATACTAATTTCCACTTTGCTGGTTCCTGTTATTTGAAGCCTAGCTCCAAAATCATCTATGCTGATGTCTTTCACATCTCTCAGTCAAAAGGCAATGTGATTTTTAACATGATTTAAACTTTCTTTTGTATCCTGCACTTATCAATTTAATGATGCATAAAAATGACAAGATTCTGCAGAATCTCAGTTTTTCTGACTGCCTTCATAGAAGGTACTCCCTTTCACCTGGTAAGCAACTTTGTCGCATTCCAGGTCCTCAACAAAGAGACAATTCCATTTTAGAGACCTCATAATTCCAATTTTCTCTCAAATAACATTGCACCCACCAAAACAGTATCTTCCAATGCTGTTGCTTAGCCATTATGTTTTAAAACTCATCCTTTAAAAGTCTAATGTCACTTAATTTCTCTCCTGCATTTGTGATGGGTTGTGGATTCTGGATCTATGCATCCAATATTGTTAAACACCCTGGGGAGAGATCCATACAAGGAATTGGGATAAACATGGCTTCTGTGTGTTCTTGAAAAGTTTCAGTTAGTCTTTCAGAAAGTGTTAAAAGAGTCTCTTAAATTATAGATCCCTATTTCTCGGAGTCTAAACAGACGGGCACCCCTAGGGGGCGCTCTATCTCACAAAATTTCAGGGTCAGAAGCGTTTTCGGGGACGGGATCACTCTAGGGTGTGACCTCACAGAAGAACCTGGGTCCACAAGAAATGAGTTTGGTTTAGAAACAGTTTATTAAACCTATTTGAGTTCGATGTCTTTGAATGTCTGCTGTGGGCCTAAGCCAGTCCTGGGTATCCAGAGTTCACCCAGCAAGGACTGGGCGAGGGAGTGACATGCCCTCCTCAGATTGATTGCCTTTTTCTTGGCAGTCCCTCAACTGACTCAGCAAACGTGGATGGAGACTGAAGCCTGCCCTACTAGGCGTTCCTTGTGAGGCATTAGGTTAAGCTGGATTCTGGACCAAGTCTGCTGTGTACCCCTTTCTGCAGAGCAAAAGTTACCCAACACCTGCTATAATCAACTCGTGGTGGGCGCAAAGTGTCAGACAATCAGGCTTTGAGAGACTCAGACACTGGTCCAAAAGGGAGTCTTAATGGCAACTGTAGTGCGAGTTCGGTGGTACCGAGCAGAAAACTCACTTGCAGCCATGCTGGGTCTACACCAGACCTTCAACTTCTGCGGGCCCCGCAGCCCTTCCGACGCTCTGATCCCCTCGGGCGTCCCCACGATTCCCTGGGGAGAAGAATCGTCCCCGGGGCGCGCGGCGTCCGCTTGCCTCTCACCCTCGACCTTGGCGTCACTTGACTGAGGGCCATTTGTTTTTCCAAGGCTCCATTAAGAAAAAGAAATTACCCTAAGGGACCAGACGCCAAATACTTTTAAAATCCTGCTGCACCACATTTCGGGGCGGGGGGTGGGGGGCATGAGAAATCTTTCCAAGTCTGTGGAAGCCCCGCGTTGGGATCCGGGGCAGACAGCGTCACCCCGCGGCCGCCGAGGGGGGCAGGAGCCCGGCCTTGGCCCCGCCCCGCGCCCCGGCCGGCCAGGCTGCCGAGCCCGCGCCCCCAGTCCCGCCGGGGTGCCGCGCGCGGGGGTGCCGTCGGCGCGTGTCCGCGCGCGTGTGTCGGAGTGTGGGAGATGCGCTGGAGTCCTACGCCCGGGTGTTTCCTTCCGAGTGGTTTTGATCAGCAACCCATTAGGGGATTATGGAAACTTTTTTTCTGGCTGAAAGGATGAAAACTGAGTAAGTACATAGAACTTTGAACTTGAATCAGAATGAAGCAAATGCAAGCGAACCCCTCATAGTAACCACGTCCATTTAGTCCCCCTTTTCATGTTAAAAGCCATGAATGCTTACAGGAAAGTGGCAATTTAAAACTGAATGAAGGGCAGTCCAGTTAAGAAACATCAAAGGCTGAAAGCAGGACCGCTTTAAAATAGGAGGAAAAACGAGGGACTGCTAAGTAAGGCGCACTGGCCTGCATCCAGCTGTGCACCAGGCGCTTGGGGTTTTAACCTCTTGCGTTCGTCAATGCTGTTTTCAGGCTCCAGATTGACTTTGCTGTTGTTTTCTCTTTTCCTGTGGAAGCCCTGACTGAGAGTTTAAGGGTGTTGTGAAAATGAGGCATTGCCGGAAGCAACAGTTTGGCAGCCTGGGGACGCGCTCAGGTTATTAGTTACAACTATTATTATTTTGATGTCTTTTTTAAACCCAGGCCAGTCACTTCTTACTGTCACCCATGGAAGGGTTCTTCCTAGCCTTCCTAGACTTTTGGGATCTATGATTCTTTGGCATGAACCTTCGGAAAGTTCTCCAGCGGGGATGGAGCAATCTTGATTTAAGAAAAAGATGTGGAAAAAGAAGACAGATGAGTGTTCTTCATGCTAACAAAAAAATTGCCGCTATGACTTCTTTGGCAACGGGGACCGGGGCCAAGTGAAGCTGAACTGGTCATGGTCTGTCGTCCAGTGTTCCTTTGTCGTCGGCGATTTTGCCCCCGGCCCTTCCTGGTGGGTTTGGTGGTGGCCATCTGTCTATTCTACCAGACCCTGACACTCCGAGGCACGAGGAAGCTCACAGTCGCTGTCCCTGGGGGTGCCCCCAACTCACCCACCGAAACCCAGGCAAGAGGATGCCAAAAAGGATCTCCCCTGGACAAACAGTGCTTCCTTCTCACCGGCAATGCGCAGGAAATCAGAAAGGTAAGACGGTCCTAGATTAATTAACCTTGACATTTTCTGCAAAGATAGTCTGCAGTCTGCTTCTCTGTCCTTTCTGTAAAACTAAAATTAACTTCCATGAGGTCTGAAAGGGATCCAGAGTATACACAGCCCAGAATGACCTTTTGACAGTGAAACACATGTTAGCTTCCACTTCTTACATTTACTTCCAGAAAGTCCTGGCCATGATTTTATCTGTTAGATCTTTACTTCATTTCAGCTGAATGAAATAGCTAATTTGGAGGTGGTGGGAGTCTTGTGAATTCTTTATAAAATATTAGGATTCTAAGCGAACTGAAGATTTACAGTTCAGGACCACAAAACAAAGATTCATAAAATTTGATAAACATTGAGTGTCTCTTTTCTCAAGACAGCCAGCGTAAGTGCCATAGAGTATTCCAGACTCACAGATACTCTGAAATTCCGTTTTCTAATTACTTAAATCAGTTTTTCATTGGTGAACACATTCCAAAGCAATGTACTTATTCTGAAACATTTAAGTGGGTAACAATCGATGTCTTAAAAAAAATCGAGACACTATTGTATTGCTTATAGAACTAGGGAAATATAGATGATCCTATACTTATACTAATCTAATTAACTGTACTAATCTTATTTGTCAAATGTTGGGAAAACCACAAAACAAAAAACGCACAGAATTTCTATTTTAATTCAATACTGTTCGTGACTGTCAGTGAAATGATGATCTTTAAAATAGTTCAGGGAACAAAAAGAAAAATTATGAACATTCATGATACCAAAGCCATTGATTTCTATGCTATAAGTAGTATAGTGAGATGTTTGGGAAATTACAAATACTCTCAAAACTGTAGTTGATTTAGGTGAATCCCATGATTATGATTGGAACAGAATTTTCTATTGTCCAACACTAGCTAGTGTTACTGCTAACATCTCCAGCACCATTATCATCTAGTTTTAAAAACACTCATGTATTTCCTTTCAGATTCATAATCCTGGGAGATAGGTAAGGTAGGTGTAATTGTCATCATTTTACAAATCAGATGATTGACATTCAAAATTGTAGACAGGCCAAAGGGCAAACAAATGACATGGGCACAAACTTCTACCTGGTTCCTCCTACAAACTGATGCTCTAAGTAAAAGTAAATTCAAAACTCTAATCACCATTTATGAAGTTGTAACTCTACGTACTTATTGAAATACAAAATAATGTTAGGTGAGAAAAAAAAATTGAAAACTTTTAAATCAGTGACTTCTTTTGTTATCGACAATGTCAACAAACACCTTGGCCAAGAAATGTCTTATGACAAAGAATACCAGGTAATGCAACCAGACACACTGCTGAGTGGAACCTAAACTGTAAGTGTAAATCAGTTATTAAGTGCTGCAAAGTAATTGAAGAATGTGTAGCTTTTGTTCATTTATGCTAATGTAAACTTTTATTTGCATTTTGGGCTTTTTTTAATTGAGTTGGTCATGTTATAATGAATGTAAACTGTGACTTGGAAAGTCACTTGTTTGTTTTTAATATTGATAAGTATAATTTCTTTAAAAATAGTTGAGATGATTTTGCCCTTTAAATACCTAAAATTTCTGCTAGGCATTCTGGACAAAAAGGTTTTTATTCATTAATGTATAGTTTTTTCACTCCTTGATTTTATGTGACTCCTGCTTTTGCCTATAACTAGCAGATGTTAGCTGTTATTCGTAGGCTGTCACAGAAAATTCCATTTCAGATTTGGATCTCCTGCTACTTATAAACCATCTGAAACTTATTGGCTGCTTGGGTAAAACATTCATTCTAGAATTTTCTTCACAAAAATGCCAAACACATGATTTCCCCCAAATTATTCACAGTCTTAACTATTTCAACTGTAAGCAAAATTTTAAATTCACGATTATAGTTTAGAAGCCTAGTGAATATGAAAGCTGAATTTCCAAACACTTGCCATGTTCCTCTATTTTTAATTTAACTTGTGCCAGCCATTGGTTTAGAGCCAGTTTTTTTAAAAATCAAATATAGAAAGGAAGCTAGAAAGTACCATGTGGTAATTAGTTAAAATCAGTTATAATTTAGTTCTTGTAATATGTGTATAATATGTAATAATCCAGATTAAGTATTCTTTCAAATGACTGAAGTTGAATATCTTTGAGACCAATGCATAGAAACAATTATGGAATTCATGAAAAATAAAATGATGAGGCACCACACAGATTTGCCTCAAAACCCTAAGTATAGTTTTTAGGCATTTAATAGAAATAGCACTGTTTCTGTTTATAATTTTGTGTTTTATTATTAATAAACCAAAATATTCACATTCCTAGGACTTTACTGGTATCCATCCATCCTTATCTGAATTTTGAAGTTACTTAAAACAGCTGATCTTGACCTATGGTTCAAGGGTTCCAGAACCCGTGAGTTCCAGTATTTGAATATAAAAGTTGTTTACCAACCCTAGGCATTTTTTTTCAAATATTATGCATATATGTATGTATGATTTTCTGTGGAAAATCGTGATCCCCTTCAAATAACCAGACCAACCACCTCCCACCCCCAAAAGCAAACCCAAGAAACTAAGAAACATGAAAAAATTCTTTTAAAACAGAGTATGTGCAAATATTAAAATAATTGCCTCTTCAGGAAATATAAACTGGATCTGGATTTATAAAATGTAAAGAGGGAAAAATCTTAAATAATTCACCTGAGGACATTTGAAAAAGTATTTCAAGGAATGGTGCAGTGTCTACAGGGAAAACATTCAGAAACTCAAGTCTACTCAAGAAGTTTTTCTTGAATCCTAGTTTTCATACTTTCATGAATAAGTAATGATTATTTCCCAGTCATCTTGGTTGCAGTGTTTCTAAGAGAAGACCTCTTCTGCTTTGTCAGCTTAGTAATAGATAGTCCTGTAGTAGCAAGTATTTCAAGCTGGGTGGCTGTGTCTTCTCCACCTTTACAGTTAGGATCTGGTTCAATGTCTAAAACTGTTTTCAGTACAGATTGAGATCATATATAGTATATGCCAGCTTTCCACAGTGAGGAAGTAGTCTCCCTCTTTTTGGCCAAATTTTAATTCTTTTTTCCATTTGAACTTTCCAAAAGCCCTTGCTGAGCAGATGTATTATTGTCACTTCTGGTTTTCTCCCAAGATAAGTTGTTTGAATTTTGGTTGATAATGTGCCATGTCTTAAAATTATTTCAGTTTACTATATAAACTGTAGACAGTTATACTTGTCTTCACTGAAGTAGGTCACTCTGTAGATTTATTTATTTTTGTGGAATCCAACACTTCCAATATTTCACAACACAGGAAGCACATTAACTTATAAACACAATGGAAGAAAATCTTAGTAGATGCTCCTTTAAGGGAAGATTTGCTGCTTGGGGAATACATTTATACTAACCATAGCCATGTGTTTCTGATTATCTCCTGTTGCTGCTCCACCAGGAAAATTACTAGTTCTTTGTTGTTCGATTTCATTTTCCATTTCCTCTTGACTCTCCATTCTCCTAAAGTAACTCTCCTCTATGACTACTTTTCCCAATACCAAAGCACAACCTAACAAAAAAAAATGTTTTCATTAAAAAATGTTATATTTAATTTGTGTTTCTAATACTGCATAATATATTTAACATTCAAAAATTTCTAAAATTACTTTTTTAACCCAGACTTTCTAGAAATTGAACTCAAGGAAAACAACGTGGTAACATTTTATTGGATGGTACACTCTCAGGGACACAAGAGTAGGAGAATAAAGGAAGATGGAGAGCAAATACAAAAGGGTGCATTATTGGGGCACATATCCAGAGAGGCTGTGTAAACCTGTTGCATCTCAGAACAGGTACTGCAGTAAAGGGGCAGAGAGGGCAAGCAACTTATCCCCTGGCTTCCCCCTTTGGCTGGAGTTGCTCTGTAAAATTCTAGGCAGTGGTATCCGGACTCTTGGGCCAGCCATTGGGAAATCCAGGCACTTCTTGGGTGCAGTCTGGGCAGAGTAAATGTGAGGTGTTCCTTCTTTTCTGTCTGTACTGTGGTGGCCATGGTGGTGACAACAGTGTCCATAGTTCTATGACTGCAGCAATGGCATGAGTAATGACCATGAGGGGTGTGTGAAGCAAGGTGATCTAATGTCTCACATGGGTGTTGCACTAATTTTGCTTTCTAAAACCCACAGAATATGTCTAAATATGCTCCCACTCTCGGGAAGTAGAATCATTTTCTTTAAATAAAAAGTTCGTAATTATCTCACTGAGAACTTCATTCCAACTGGAAAAAAAAAAAAAAAACCAAATTCGGTTCATCTTCACCCTTTTTCCTGCTCCTCATGCCTTACATTCATCCTTCCATTTTTTTCATTCATTTCAAAAATTTTTATTGAATTGCCTGTTTTTTTTCTGTCTCCATATAGTATCTCCATTTATCAGTGCTGTGAGTTGAATTGTGTACCCCAAAAATGATATGTTGTAATCCTAAGCCTCAGCCCCTCAGAATGTGGCCTTATTCAGAAATACTGTTGCCACAGTTAGTTAAGTAGGGTGGACCCTTAATCCAATATATCTGGAACAAGAAGACAGCTACGTGAAGGCAGAGACACGCAAGGAGAATAGCATGTGATGGTAAAGACAGAGATTGGACTTAGTTCTTGTGTCCAGGGAACACGAAAATTGCAGGAACCACCAGAATCTAGAAAGAGCAAGGAAAAGCCCTCTTCCCCAACAGGTTGCAGAGGGATCCTGGCCCGGCTGCCCGCTTGATCTCAGGCTTCCAGACTCCTAAATTGTGAGACAATACACTCCTGTTATTTTGAGCCACCCAGTGTGGGTGCTTTGTGGTGGGGGTTCTGGGAAACTAAAAACCACAGAGGATGCAGAATAGTCAGCACTTGAGCTCTGGAGTCCAGTGAATACGTCCTGATACCCCACCTGGGACACTCATTTCCTGAACTTTCTAGGTTTCTGTTTTCTCACCTAAAAATGAATATATCATCCCCTATTTACAA